GGGGGGGGGGGGGGGGGGGGGGGGGGCAATTTTTGGTCCACTGAACATTTTGAGAATTTATGTGTTTGGGCGACGACATCAAGGACCGCCCATGACGTCACATAGTGTAAGCCAAGGACCGCCCATGACGTCACATAGTGTAAGCCAAGGACCGCCCATGACGTCACACAACCTAAGCTAGGGACCGCCCATGACGTCACATAGTCTAAGCTACTCCAATGAATGAAAGGAACCATGCTGTCGGCAGTCAACGATTATTCTTGAATTATTATTATTTTTGTTTAACCATCTGATGCACTTTATTTTAATTATTTCGTTTCTTAATTTTACCACAGTTCCAGAAAAGTAAAAAAAAAACAACAACATATTTTCTTTGTATCTTCCTTCCAGGATGGTTACGGTTCTTGTCCCATGAGATGTACGTTGTGATTAGCAGCTACTTCAGCCACCAGTATCTGTGCTTGAACCACAACGGGACGCTTTACCTGACGGTGAGTGCCCTCTAACGTTCTCATGTGCGGGGTGCTCAGCAATCGGTTGTAAGGAAAGTCAGGTGGTCAGACACACACACGCAAGTAATAGAACTGGGTCAGTTAAGAGGATTATGGGACGGTAGTAAGCGAATAACATAAACACAGAGACATACTGTGATTAGAAAAAAGCCCCATGGTGTATGGGTGGCAGTCCTAGGGGTAGCACCTCTGATTGGGTGGCAGTCCTAGGTTAGCACCTGTGATTTAGTGGCAGTCCTAGGGTACCACCTGTGATTGGGTGGCAGTCGTAGGGGTAGCACCTCTGATTGGGCGGTAGTCCTATGGGTAGCACCTATGATTGGGTGGCAGTCGTAGGGGTAGCACCTCTGATTGGGCGGTAGTCCTATGGGTAGCACCTATGATTGGGTGGCAGTCGTAGGGGTAGCACCTCTGATTGGGCGTAAGTCGTTTCCCTTTGGGTTAGCTCATCAATATTTATTCGACACATGATTCTCAGATAGCACCTTTGTTTCTTTGGGTTTTTTTTTTTTTTTTTTTTAAAACATATGTCCATTATCGAGCAGCAATTCTTCTACAATTTGTATTCTGCTATTCTTCCACTTTTTTTCCCATCTCTTCTATACAGAAAAAATTTTTTTTTTCTTTTTTTTTTTTTTTTTTTCCTTTTTTTTTTTGGGTTTTTTTTTTTTTTTTTTTTAAACATATGTCCATTATCGAGCAGCAATTCTTCTACAATTTGTATTCTGCTACTCATCCACATTTTTTCCCATCTCTGCTATACAGAAAAACGTCAGCCCCGAATGTTACCTGAAGGAGTCCACCCTCGACGTTGAGGGCTCCGCATCTCAGACCTACGAGTTCATCTACTACAAACATCTCCCAAAGCGCTACCTAAGCATAGACTGTGACGTCGAGACGAGCAACGACACCAGCGCGGACTCGGTCCGATTCAACTACGACGAGAATTCGGAGATGCACCCGGGGACTCCAACGACTTGCGAGTCCGAAAGAAAAAAAGAAGAAGCCAAGCAAAAAGAAGAAGCCAAGCGGAAAGCTTTGAAAACGCGCAAGATGCTGAAGGCGCGCAAGATGCTGAAGGCGCGTTGGTGCTGGAATCTAAATCGCATGGAGAAGAAAAAAGACGCATACATCAACAACTGCACGGCGAAGTATTGCCCCAAAGAGCGCCGCGATAAGTGTGTGTGTGACATCTTGAAGAATATGTTGAACAATACCAGGAGGGCGAAGCGGAAATGTCTGATCGCCAAAGTGCGCTCGTGGGTCAGGAAGCAAAAACTGACCCCCAACGAAGACCTGATCAAAGAGGTCGCCAAGCGACTCTTGCCGGGCTATCACGGCATCTCCAAGCGGATGCAGAATCTCGCAAAGCAGAAACGGCGGAAGAGCAGCCAGTCGGCGGGCGAGAAACCAAGATCCCGAACCAATCGCACGAGGACCGCCAACAGACCAATCAAAATCAAGCCATTGCTGGAAAAAATATTTAAAAATGAACTCAAAGACTTTAAACAGACGGGGGCCAGTGTGAGCCCTCTATCCAAAGCCTTCGCCGATGAAATAGACAAATTAATTAGGCCAAGCCCGCGACACAGACGGAGGCACCACGGGAGCAGGGGAAGTTCTAAATCAAGGGGACGAAGAGCGCGGAGATCCATAAAAATGAACTCCTTTCTTTTCAAAGGAAATATAACAAACTCTGACAAATCTAGGTCATCGTCCCCGGGCTAAGGCCACGACCATGAACTCTAGGTCAGTAAACTGTCAGGATTACCTACCTTGAACAAATTACCTCATCTGTATAAACAAGCAAAGCTGTAAACGCTCCTCTACTTGGTTGAAAGAAAAAAAAATGATCACGAAATGCTTGTCCTGGAGCAATCTGGAGGTTGTTTATAGTATTGTCCTTCACAAAGTCGCATCCCTGCTATTTCATCCATGCCTCGTCATGTCACTCGGGAACATGGTGCTTTTCAAGAAACCAACTGCTTTTCGGGGCCCCCCTCTCCACACATGAGCGTGGTTTTTGGTGGCTCTCCCCCCCCCCTCCCCACACTAGCTTGTGTCACCCGAAAACCTGGTGCTGGCCGTCATCGACCTGGTCGTGTACATTTCTGTGCAGTGCGAGAGAACGTTAGGACGAGGTCTGTGGCTCAAACAAACGGGAATATAGAATTTTTAATGATGAGAACATGTGAGCCAGAGGATCAAACTACGTTGTGCCCCGAAGCCGGAGGTCGAAGCAAGAGGCAACTCTGACTGATGGATACCTCGTATGCGGTCAGCAAAGGGGGAAGGGTGTTTGTCTCATTAGTGACCACACAAAAAAAAAAAAGATGAGATATGTTTCTATCCTACAAACTGACAAGCTCCTCCTACCAACTGAGGCGACCACTGCAGTATTCGTATGTCCTTGGTGGCTGTGGTTAGGACACATGGCATCGCACTTCGGCTTGACTCTTGTTTTAAACAAGATTTGTCCTTGACCTATAGAGCCATAACGGGGGCACTAGAATGTGGGTCTCATTTAGTCGATTTTTGTTTGTTTTGTATGTGAACAAGTTCAAAAGAGCTTACAGCGGAACAAGTTGGATGGAGATTATTAGCTTGCAAGAGACACTGTCAGCATACACCGAAGCTACACTCGAGATGATGTAATTTCGGCCAGCTGTGAATATATTGAGGCTACCTACGAATTTTGTTGTAGCTACTCACGAATGTACCAACGCCACTGATGGGGTAGTGTTTGCCACTCTCCTGTTTGAAAAGTTAAGATTTCTTCAGCTTGACTCAATTGTGTAGACATTAATTATACTATTTTCCATTGAACCATTGGTGTGAACACGATATATATATAGTTTGAATTTTTTTTTAGTCAAGTATAGGTTCCTATATATGCATATCTATATATAAATGCAAGCAAAAAAATTTGAATTTTTAAAACACCTTTCTTCCCCTTCATTCTTTAAGTTTATATTTAATATAAAAAATATTCATAAGAAGTGACCATAAATACCAACTCATAAAAATTGTAAAACATTTTCTTTCAAATAGTTATGTTTTTCACCCTTCAATTTTACCCATCATACATTAGCCTTCACAGATATACACGCACACACATTTACTTAGATATCATAGAAGGGTGTATAGATATACTAGAATGAGCTGATACTGATGTATAACAAATAATAATCTATGAAACACAGTACCAAACTATATTTGTTTCTTAGCATGGCTTTTTGCTAGATGTGATTTGCTAATGGGGCGACTTTAAACATATCATACGGTAGATGATGGCTGAGCCTTGCTGTGCCTATGTATTGTATTTATTCCGAAGACCACATTAACGCTATCACAAGGAGGGCAGGTCAAATATTAGAAGCCACTTGGTCCCCAACTGTCCTAAGGAATGCAGGTTAGCTTTTAGAAATTTACCCCCCCCCCCGAGTCCTCCCACCCCCACCGTCATAAAGATGGATAACTTGTAATCTTGGAATATAATCTCTGGTAAATCGGGAAGCAGTGAATATAAGAGAGAGGCATGATTTGACAAGCTGGCCCCAATAACTTAGATATCTGTTGGGTTTATCAGACTGAGGTTGTTATACTTTTTATGCAGGGTACGTCCTTTATTGTACCTGGACGGCAGTCGATTGAATGATTTATTCTTATTACATAATGTGATTGAGGTTTTTTTTTCAATACAAATGGGCTGCGCGCGTGATAATGCAAGGGGACATGGGCCCCCACCCCTCCAATGGTATTAGTGCATAGTGCACCTCTCCCAATGTGTTGATACATAGATACATATTGGGCATGGGCCCCCAACCCCTCTCAGCATGTATGATATTTAACACCAAACATAAATAAAATCTTCCAGCCAAATCAATTTCTAGTCATCATACAATTTTTAAAAGCTTTCGCAACTCTTTATGGTTTGGACTTCAAATATTTTTAAGGCGTATTTTAATGAGTGAAACTTGGAAACTTAGACATGGAAACTTGGACTCAAAAACGTCTACTTGGACTCGGTGTCAATGATAGTAAACTTTTCTTGGTCGTACCTGGATGGGGACTCCACAACAACTAGATACTGTTCACTTTGTTGATTTTTTTTAAATTTTGCGCAGCCATTAGATGGGATGTCTGTGAATGAGGTCAATTTAAAACGACACTATCCTTAGGCGACTTACGTTAAATTATTTTGACGCAGAATTTGTATTTGATTTTTATTTTCAAATGATATTTCTTATTATTGTTAGGAAAACTTGACCTAGAATAAACTTTGTTAAGTGACCCCCAGATAAAAGTTGTTTAAGCTTTGTTAGTGACAGAGGTTGAACATAGGTTCAAAGACCCATTGGGACCCGGACAGCAACAAAGTATAAAAATATATTTGAATATATGCTTATAATGTGTGACACATTTATTTACTGGTGAATCCGAAATATCTTGATCCACCACGTGGTGGACTTGGGTTTATCTTCAAATTTAGCACAGTATTTATATTTTCCCCGTGTAATGACAAATCCCTGGCTGTCCACAGCAACTGCTTCAGCCAATATCCAACAAGATGAACTAGATTTTATTGACCAGCAAGTAATGTTTGAGGCCACGAGATAGGATACTGTATTGCCCAAGCGAGTCATTACAAGCGACACATTCATTTGTTGGGCTTAAAGGTTGTCATACATTTTCAAACCCTTCTTCTCGGGGCTCGAAATTCGATTTTCTTTATCTTGCGCCCTGGGGTAGTCACCAGTGGCGAGGCAGGCCATAGCCCCTACACGGGCTGTAACGCCACAGGGATGGGTGCGGGCCAGTCACCAATAACGTCCAGGTCAAGTAGGACCTACTTCTGACAAGCTAATCTTCCCAACGTCTATCTTTAAGGCGACCCATTGCGTGATAAAGGGATGCCATTGAGCAATAGTGATTTTAACTACCAGTGTTCGTTCAAGCTATTGTAGTGAATCAGCCCTATAGTGATGGTTCAGTACCCGTGCAATGATTGCCATTACACGTGTACTTATGGCCACTGCATGTGTACTTATGACTTGCTGTTAACGTAATAATTTGTCTTATCCCCAACTGTCCTTGCGGGTCTTCTTAACGTCGTTATAAAATCATATGACATCAACCATTGTACAAAATAGCATTGCACCGATGTTGCTATTTCTACAAAAAAACACACATTGAAAATTTGATCTAAAATTTCTTTAAACACTTAAAACTGTTTTTAATGTAAAAAAAAAAAAAAATTAAAATTAAAAATTCCAGTCTTTGCAAGATTCATTCCTCCCCCAACCCTAGTTTCAACTCGTAAAAGATTACTTAGGATACTAGAACAAGAGGACTGTAATGTTGATTAGCTGAGCCCCATGATGGTTCATTTCAACTATTTGAGGAGCCTGTAAATACCAACGTTTGCCACCTTACCGATTCAGGAAAGTCTCGTGAAGAGTTGTACCAACTCATGGCAGCCTTGTGATCAGTAGCGCCAACTCATGAAAGCCCTGTAAATAGTTGTACCAACTCATGAAATCGTTGTGAATAGTAGTACCAACTCATAAGATCCTTGTGATTATTTGTACCAACTCATGAAAGCCTTGGGAAAATAATGTCTTCCATTTCATTGGCTTGACCACGTCGCATGATTTTCTAATTCAAACCAAGCTAGGTTTTTATTTTTTGACATTTTCAAATGTTTATATATATATATATATATATATATATATATATATATATATATATATATATAACCTGGCAGATTGTACTGCTATTCCTTTTTGGGTATTTCATCTTGGAGTATAAAGTTCATTATCACTATCGAGAACTCCCGTGTTTTATAACAAAATTAAACATGCCTTAAAGAACAATATCACTAAATAAATATACTTTCGAAATTTAGCTAAATATCTTTTGTTGCCAAATAAATCACTAAAAAATTTCAGTGCTAAGGGGAAAAGGTAAATCTCAATTTTCTTTCAGAACATAATCGAATATTACTTCAGGTGAAAAAGAGATTATGTTGAAGTTCTGACGATTTTGATGAGCGAACTAGGACAGCTTAAACTTAAACCGAGATCGGCAAAAATTTGCGTACGTGACTTTCAACTTGAGGTTGCAATTGTATCACGATCAGGCTTACATAATAATTCCATAAGTCTTAGAGCCTTTTGTGATTCTGGCTCTCGGGTTTGGCAGTACCGGTACAAGACATCTGTGGGGTTACAGCAACCGGCTCGTGAGGGACAAGACATCTGTGGGGTTACAGCAACCGGCTCGTGAGGTACAAGACATCTGTGGGGTTACAGCAACCGGCTCGTGAGGGACAAGACATCTGTGGGGTTACAGCAACCGGCTCGTGAGGTACAAGACATCTGTGGGGTTACAGCAACCGGCTCGTGAGGTAAAAGACATCTGTGGGGTTACAGCAACCGGCTCGTGAGGGACAAGACATCTGTGGGGTTACAGCAACCGGCTCGTGAGATACAAGACATCTGTGGGGTTACAGCAACCGGCTCGTGGGGTACAAGCCATCTGTGGGGTTACAGCAACATAGCTAATGTTCATGGTTAAAAAAATAGTTTTTTTTCAGTATTAATTAAGAAACGATTACAGTTCATAGTATTTCTTGGGGGAACATCCAGCCCATTACAGTGACCAGACACACAACAAAATATCGCCACGTGTGGCCCTTGAAGATAAATATGGAGGGGTGGGTGGGGGTGATTGATGAGCATAGAATTCATTAGTTTGTATGTAGACTGACTTACATTTTTCTGTGTGGTTATGTTTTATGCGGTTATCTTCTGTGAATCTAGTTGACACGATTCTACCGGGGGGGGGGGGGGGGCCTTTTTTTTTTTTTTTTTTTTTTTTTTTTTTTTTTTTTTAAAGAGAGCCTTGTAATTATGCCATGTGCTAGACAGGTTAGTATGACATTTGGATTGACCAAACAATATGTTGACAAGCGGAACAGGGTTTGAGTTTTAAAAAATAAATATTTTGCAGGGACAATACTTTTACATAAAATCAGCGTCTGTATGAGACCCGACTGGTGAAGTCTCGTCTGTACAAGGCCGGTCTGTATAAGGCACGCAGAACCGACTTCAGGGAGTGAGGCAAACAAGCGGCGAAAATGGAAACAAATCCTGTTTTTAAAAGCCGCTTGCATTTTTTAAAAATTATTTAAGTGGTACATCTTTATTATTTTAAAGTATTTTCTCCTTAACCAAACGACACGGTCTGTTTCCCATCTGCACCTATAGTCCTTGGCCGAAGAGTGCCTCGTCCCATCTAGGTCTCCGTCCGTGGCCGTTAGTCTTAAATCTGTTGCTAAAGGCACAGCATGCAGGCGTTCGAGAGTGTGTCTCTGGCGTCTTGACACCGCGAGCCAGCACGTGAAAGCAGAGCGCCAAATGTGGCGCGGAGTGATGACGTAACACTACTTTGTCAAATGGTGTTATTCCCCAACGCACGCACATTGTGGCGACAGGTGGCGCTTAGGATAACCCTGGCTGGACCATTGACGTGAAATTCGCCCGATCCATCGGTCAGAAATGTTACATAACTCATCCGTTTAAGAAATCAGTGGCTAACTCAAATGAGGTTGTTGTTCTTATTGTTTATGTCCATTGACTCCAGCCATGTTGGCTGAGCATGAACACTTCACTGCCCGCTTCTAAATTTGCTTAAAATTACCACAGGTTATAATTCATTCTTCATCATCATCTTGCAATCACACAACGTTACATGTTCCGTCTGTGGAGTCGGTCTAAAATTTATAATTCAATTAGGCACGACTCTTTAACGGCTATATGTGATCGTTGATCTCTTCAAATAATCCTCACTTTTTACAAATAATTCTCACTTTTTACAAATAATTTTTATTTGAAAAAAAAAAATCAACTTGTTAAATATTGAATGTAGAACAGTTTAGTTTCAGCAATCGCTAGAGTCATTAGTAGATGCAATGTTCTTGACTTAGACAGCAAATACGCCACTTTTAAGTGATTGTTCGACCAGAGCGATGTCTTGACTGAGACATGTTACCGTACATGCATCAGTCAAAAAAACAAAAAAAAAAAACAATTCCATCGGTTGGTTCACTAGTGAAACATGTAACTGCTGATGAAAATAAAAGTGAAAAAAATTCATCTCGTTGTTACGTTGACTATTAACCAATCCAACAGGTCGTGGCGTTGAGAAATGTTGACTTTTCAAACAAGCCACAAAGTGGACTGTTTACTGATTACCTGGTCTACTAATGTTTACTTTGAACCTAATCTTTAGTCCCGTCTGATGGTCACGTTGTGTCTAAGTTTTTTTTTTGTGGTGACCAAATTGAAAAACATTTTCTAGATGCAATGTGGCACACATTTGAAATGTTACCTGGTCAATTTGAAGAAGGAGGGAAAAAAAAGGAGAGAAAGCAAAGAATTTCAACCA